CCTTATCCAGAGAAGCAGCAGCACCAGAGATGGAGGCAGAGATGGGGAGTGGCTGAGGATTCTAGATTCAAGGACTAAGAAGAGAAGGACTAAGAGCTGGTGGCTAGGAGCAGACTTGCAGAATGTGCCCTTTGGAGATGTAATTTATTATCTATGCCTGAGTGGGGTTTTTGTTTGTGTGTTTTTTTTTAAAAAGCTAAAGAGGATAGAGAGAAATACTTTTAACTGATGGTATATGGAGGGGATTATAATCAATGTAATGAAACGAGTTATATGAATTATACCTACTCCTCCTCCTTCCTTTGGTTTGATCAGTAGGTCTGGTCGGCTTGGTAGCAATATCTAGGGGCCAAATGTAATTCAGGGTCATCTTTGCTTCTACTTTCCCACACTGAATGGGAATTTCATAAATATGCAGGGAAAAGAAGAACAAAAAGGAGACTTCTATGTCTGAGCAAAACTGATTATTGTTGTTAAGTGCCATCGAGTTGTTTCTGATCCATGGCAACCCTGTATATGGTTTCCTAAGAGTGGCTGGTGAGCTTGAACTGAGGACCTTGTGGTTCAAATCATCCTTGCAGTCCAACACATTAACCTGCAGAGCCATCCAGAAAGTTGTAAATTTATCTCATTTTTTTTGGGAACTGTGTCAAATGGGACACTGTGTCAAATCCAGGTCTCTGCTGAGAGGAATCTCCCTCTATAAAGTAATCAAAATTATGAAAGGATGAATCACCACCAGAAACTGCCCAAGTGCTTGTTCCAGGGTTCAGATGCCGATGGCACTACAGGGTACATCTCTGGGTCAACAGATGGGGTCAATGATTGAATAAGATATTTGAACCAGATTATCAAGTGTTTGATGATAACTAATTTTGACCGGAGTCCTGGTGTGGCTCTGAAGGATCAGCACTGTATTATTAACCACAAGGTTGGCAGTTCAAACCCACCAGCTGCTCCCTGGAAACCTATACAGGGTCACTATGAGTCAGAACTGCCTCAATGACATGTAACAACACCACAGCATAATAATCAAGACATCTATATGGACAGCACCTCATTTGACTTTTCCCTCAGATCTGGTACAGCAGAGCCAATTATTATCCCCATTGCACAGATAAGGAAATCAAGGCTGGAAGGCCAGAATCACCCAGAGAAGAACCAGCATTCTATTCATGTGACCCTGGAGTTGGAAGTGAGCTAGAGAAGGAAAAACATGTGGAGTCCTGGTGTGGTAGTGCAGGATAAGTGCTGGACTGCTAACCACAAGCTGGAGTGGTTCAGACACACCAGCTGCTCCTTGGAAGCCAAATGCAGGGTCCTATGAGTCGGAACAGACCAAACAGTGCTTAACATAACATAACATAACATAACATAACATAACATAACATAACATAACATAACATAACATAACAAACATAACAAAACATATAAAAAAGATCAAATACTAGTAGGCTCTGCCTGGTGGACTTCACCACTTTCAACAAAAGATAGCAAGAGAGAGTCCAGTAGAGTGCACCAACCTGGGGGCCAGGAGGCCCAGGGGAGCCAAGTGATCCTTGCATACATGGTGTCTGCGTGGTCTCGAGTTCAAGGATGAGGTTCTTGATGTCTGGGGAAAGAAGCTTCAATGCAAAGCAATACAGAGGTTATAGGTCAGACATGGGGACAAAAGAAAATCAGCACCCTTGTCATAGACCAGGGTCTAGCCCCATAGGCTGGTGGCTTCTTGATACCCCAATGAGCATCCCAGTAAGATGACCTTCTGGCCCACCAGCTTCCGGTCTCTCATCTGCCCTGGTTACAAACCTGTCTTGAAGGGATTATACAGATATAATCGTCACTTTGGGTGGAGCTGGGAAGCTCATTTCAGGGGCCTTGATCAAATGTCAAGGACAGTACTGTCCAACAGAAATGTAACATGAACCAGAGATAGAGTTGTACATTTTCTAGTAATCACATTAAAAAGGTAAACTGAAATTTTTAATAATAATATATTTCATTTAACCCAATATACCCAAGACAACTTCATTTCAACATATAATAAATACAAAAAATTGTTAGTGAGATAGTTTACATTCTCATGCGCATATTGAATCGTCAAAATCTAGTGTGTATTTTACACTTACAGCATATTTAAGCTCAAACTGGCCACATTTAAAGTACTCAGTAACCACATATGGCTACCAGATTGTAGATCTCAGAGTTTCCCAAAAGGTCTGTGGATGCCTCATCCCTAGAAAGCCCAGGCCTGTTGTCTTCCAGGTCAGCTCCCTGGACCCTGCTCTTTTCTCCTTCCCAAATCCGGGTCCTTCTCACACCTCAGTGTATCTACTGGAGGACTATTTCCTGTGTCCCTTCAAAGAAATGGTCTCCATTAGACAGAGGTGGTAGAAGGGAATTTCATAAACACTTGGGAAGAAGAAAACCAAAAGGGGGAATTCTATAGCTGAGCTGCTGATGGGGCCCCAGAAAGTTATAAATTCATCTCATTGTTTTTGGAGCAGATGAGTCATAGTGCCAAATCCAATTCCTGGCTGAGAAGAATCTCCCTCCATAAATTATTTTAAATGATGGGGAGATGGGATGAACACCTATCAGAAACTACCCAAGTGTCTGTCTGTTCCAGGGTTCAGCAGCTGATGGGCCTACGGGACTGAATAACTCTGAACAGATTCTGGAATAGCTCATTTTGAAAGGCGGGGCAGGAAGGAGGCTGGGCTGAGCCCTGGGAACCCTGACCGTCTATTCTCGGGCAGGTCTGAAACTACTCACAGGACTTCGGCCCTCTCTGAAGAACGGAGGCAAGAACAACGGGGGTGGAGGCGGCATCAGCAGGCAGCATGCTTTGTGGCTGCTGCGCTTCTTCTGGTCCAGGCCAGGAAGGGCTGTGCAGAGAAAACTGCTGTTTGTTAATGTGGGTCAGTGCTGGGACCTCTATACTGCCCATGGGGTCAAGGGAGACTGACCCTGCCACCCCACAATTCCAAATGCCATGTCAACCTTTGAGATGTCAGCAGATCCACTGTTTACTATTTGACATAGTCACCTGCCCTCCCACCCCAACCTTGCCTTTGCTAAATTAAGATGGTAAGGTATACAAACAGTTCGCATTCCACTACTAACCTAAAGATTGGCAGTTTGAATCCAGCCAGTGGTACATGGAAGATCTGCTTCCTTTAAGATTAGAGCCAAGAAAATACTACGAAGTGGTTGTACTTTGTGACACAAGGAATCTTTGAAATCTTTGGAATTCACTCGACAGCAAATAACCAGAACGAAAAACAGCTCTCACTGAGTAGATGCTAATGACACCGTGACCACTGCGGGGTCCATTTCACTTTCTCCAGATTCGGGGTGGTCATTTTATAGGTGTGCCAAGGAATGCAATACTTAAACAGACTCATACTGTGCCTCCAAGAGTTGGGCAGAAGAAAGCTGAGTGAATAACTTTGAAACTGTACCCAGAAGGAAAGCATTCTGAGACAGAAGCAGTCAGGGCTATAGGGAGCATTGACTACAAGTGACCCAGAACTATGATTTAAAACATGTATAGTGACTCCAGACTGTGGACACACAGTGTCATTCACACTTAGCAGAGAGTTACTGCTTAATGTCTCAATGCATTGGTGGCCCAGTCCCAAGTGCGAGGAGGTGAAGGTTAGGGTGTGAGTCCCTGTGTTCAATAATAGTATATGCTCAATGTTGAACTACACCTTTAAAATATATATATGCAGCCCAAGGCTTGCAGAGTGTGCCCTTTAGCTGTTTGGATGACTGTATATTCATGAGTGTTTTGGTGTCCATCCAAAAACAAAAAACAATGGGAATAGAAGCAGGTACTGTTTAATGATGATGCAAGGAGGAGACTGTAATCATTGCAATGAAACGAAATACGATAGGATGAATGTAAAGCTGATGTTCTTCCCTGTAAACATCACTCAGTTCACAATAAAAACTTAAAAAAAAAAAGCATGCAGCCCAATAAACTTCTAAGAAGTGGATATATCTGAGAAACCAGTACCTACACCAGAAGACAGAGAACTCACCACCACCCAGAAGCCCCCTTTTAACCTCCTCTCCACGATCCTCACGTTCAACACCACGGATTCATTTAACCTGTTCTAAAAGTTTATATAAATGGACTCATATAATATGAACACGTTTGTGTTTGGCTTCTGTCATGGATTGAATTATATGCCCCCAAAATATGTGCCAATTTGGCTACTGCATGTGATAATCCTCCAGGATGCAATCTGATGTGATAAATAAAAAGAATATAAAATATGGGCAATAATCTTAATCCCATCGTACTCTGATCTGATGTCAGGGATTTCCCCAGGGGTGTGACCTACAACATCTTTTGTCTTACAAGAGATAAAAGAAGAGAGACGTGACCAGAGAAGGTTGGACTTATTATCATCAAGAAAGAAGAGCCAGGGGTAGAGCACGTCTTTTGGACCCGGGGTTTCTGTACTGTGATGCTCCTAGATCCAAGGAAAGATTGACGGCAAGATGCATAGAGATCTCCAAGGAATGATGGGCCTACAGATGCTGAAGGGAGGCAAGGACCCCAGAGCCAGCAAAGAGAGAAGACTTCCCCTAGAGTTGTCACTCTGAATTTGGACTTCTAGCCTCCAAAACTGTGAGAGAATAAATTTCTGTTTGTTAAAACCACCCCCTTGTAGTATTTCTTAGCCTTGGAGAACTCAGACAGCTTCTTTCAGAGTATTTGTGGGAGTCATCTAGGTTGATGATTATAGCTATAATTAAGTCATTGTCTTTGCTGAATTGTATTTCATGGTGTGAATGTACCAAGATCTATTTATCCATTCTGCTGCTGATGGACATGTGGGTTGATATCAACATGCATCCCAAAATGGCTAAAATGGAAAAGATGGAAAATGACCAGTACTGGCAAGGATGTGAGCCAACCACAACTATCATGCATTGGCTGGTGGGAATACAAACTGGTCCCACTTTGAAAAAATTGTTTGGCTTTTTCAGAAATTTATAAAAGCAGAACATAGGCATATACTACGCTATCAGAGCTCAGCCATTTCCCTCCTAGGTAGATTCACCCAAACACATGTACTAGAAGGTTTATAAAAGTTATAGCCAAAATCAAAAGCTATTACTTTTCTGAATTCCCATCTTGATCTCAGATAAAAGGCTTAAAAAAGCTTGTGGGAAAACTCTACTATGTTTTATTTCTATTTTCCTTGAATTTTTCAAAGTCCTGCTTGTATTGTTACCCTCACCTCCACCTCTTCACTGAACCTCTGAACTCACAGTAGATGTTGCCCAGCAAGCCCTTACCCAGTTTTCAGCCTTATCTTCACCTGCAATTTTCTACCCCATCTTCCATGACCTGTTGTCACACAAGCAGCAAGTGGTGGGGCTCTCCAGAGGCTGCCAGCTTGTGTAGGCTGCTTGGGTCAGCTCCGGGTGCTGACCTGTGCCCCCTGGTGCACACACACCCTCAGTGCCTAATAAAGAGGCATCCGACAGCTTGTGCCAATAGTCCCCAGCCTTCTTAAAGTCCTTTATCAGAAAATTGTTAAGACATATTTATTATCCTAAAATGAAATTCATAAATGATCTATATTATCTATTGTTGTTGTTGTGAAGTGCTGTGGAGTCAGTTCTGACTTATAGAAATCCTATATAGGGTTTCCAAGGAGTGACTGATGAGCTTGAACCACTGACCTTGAGGTTAAAATCAACCTTGTAGTCCACTGCATTAACTTGAAGCACCACACCAGGACTCCCACAACCCTAAGAATCAAACCTGAATATAAAATAACAGTGATTTACGTATATTTTTGTGGTAATCAGGCACAACTGCATCAGAAAACACATGATATGGTTAGATGTTGTTGTTGTTGTTGTCAGGTGCCATCGAGTCGGAACCGACTCATAGCGACCCCATGCACAGCAGAACGAAACAATGTTCTATCCTGGGCCAACCTCACCACCGCTGCCACACTTGAGTCCATCAATGATGCCACCTGGCTGATCCATCTCGTTGGGGGTCTTCCTCTTTTTCTCTGACCCTCCAC